TTCTCCGTCTCTCCGCCTCCGCTCTCTGCCGTCGCCGCCATCTTGGCCTCGCCGGATCTATGAGAAAGTAAGGACCCGCTCCCGGCAACCCCGTCACGCTCCGATCCTCCCCGAACCCTCCTTCCACCTTTGCCGCTTTGAGAGCCCCAAGTATCAAGCCCCACGTTTTAAGCTCTGAGGCTTTTTGGTCGGACATGGCGCGCTGGCACAGCGCCGAAGTAAGTGAATCCCACCGATTTGAATCGAGCACCTGTTGAGGGGAGTCCAGCTCACCCTCCTTTTCTAACCGCGATAACACGGCCGCGATCTCCTTCTTAGAAGGAAAGGTTTTCCCCATAAGGGTTTTCCCGCAGTATGTCTTACACGCGGACGAAATCACCTTTATGACGGCTTCCATGTTCACTCCGCCGGGCGCGATCTCCCCGCGGATCAAGCAACCACCGGGCTCCTCTTCCGATGGTTTCCTGGGTCCTCGGCAGGCCTTATAGGCTATCGGCCGTACCTCCGACGCTACCCAGCTTCCACTCTCCTAAGCCGCAGCCCCCTCTTCTAGGGTCATCGCCTCCTTCCCCAAGGGAGACGGATGAGAGCAGGATCGCCACGCCGCCTGTGGCCGACCACTATTCCCTAACAATCACGTCGGGGTCACCATATGAAGCCTTCCGCTTCATCCAGGTGTTCGCAATCGTTAGGGACTCAACGGTCTGTCCATCTACCCCAGGTGCACACCAATGTGGTGGGTGGTAAAATGGCGTTTATTAACTCGTGGCAGTAGCTTATACAGCCTTGTACAACTTCGTCTACGCCCCTCTTATCTTGCGTAAGCACTTGCGTCACTACTTCCTTATCTGGTTACTACTAGCAACTACTCGAAGGTTCTATGCTCGCTGTCTACAGCTACCTCTGTTGTAAGTACTTGACTTAAAATTAAGAAGTTTTTAACAGTATCAGTAATAGAAGAATAACCTAAAAAGTAATAATGATTGGTCCTTTATCTATTTTGTGTGATGTATGAAACTCGTATGAAATATATGAGTACTTTTTTAAGGGTATTACAGGAAAAGCTTTCTCTGTAGTTATTTTTAGCATTATTTTCTCTAATACAAATTTTTTTTATTTTTAACTTTTTCTGTTTATTTGTTTTAGCACAAAGCATTCACTGAAGTTTTTCTGGATGATTCGCATACTCCTGCAAACTGTAGAGTTTCAGTTCAGGTCACTGCCCCTGCATTGAATTTGTCTGTTCGCTTCCCAATACCTGACCTGCGGTCAGATCAGGAAAGAGGACCATGGTTTAAGAAGTCACTTCAGAAAGAGATTCTTCATCTTGAATTTACAGATATAGAATTTAAAACAGAGTTTGTAGGAGGCTCAACTCCAGAACAAGTTAAATTAGAACTGACTTTTAAAGAGCTTACTGGTAAGTGTGTTCACATTATGTTTGAATATTCTTTTTTTATTATAATTTTACCAGAAATTATGCAGTTGACACAAAGGTCTTCCATTAAGGATTAGTAATTACTTCTCTCCTCTTGATGGAATACCTTTCCATCTCCATTTTGGAGCAGATATCTCTCCTGCAGTGTAATGTTCTGTGCTAGATACTAGCATAGGTCAATTAATACAAATAGGAGATGAGGATACATGGGTGCAGTGCTTGAGAACTGAGCTAATATTTCTGTTATTTTATGTCATGTTGTCTTATGTCTATTTTCAGTTTAGCGTTTTCCTGGGATCTCTCATTGTTTTAGGCTAAATTTTGTAGATACTGTGGGAGCAAAATGAGAAATCTCAGTTCTAGTTTAAAAATATAGTGAATTATATGTCCTAAATAATTGCCATTGATAAAATGGTAATACTCTTATAACTGAAGTATCGTAAAAAGTAAGAAGATAGAAACCAAACTGCTTTCAAATTGTAAAAGTTTACATTTATTTTTTTGTGGAAAAGAAGAGAAAATGCACAAAGGTGTCTTGTGCAGCTTGGATAGGTTTGCCTATTAGACTCCAAGCTGAGAAGCAGGTGACCTGAAGTTAGCAGCTGTCATTATTTTCATGAATTTTTTTGTTGTCTTTCTCGGTTCAGATTATTACCTGCATCCTATAGTTAGCAGATGTAATTCCTGAGTCAACTTTTTTTCTACTATATTTTTCTGTTTAGGTTCATTTGAAGAAGATAAAGCACAAGCGCCAGTAAAATTTTTTCAAGTGTCTGGCGGTGTTGATGGAGATATAACATCATCAGACAACTTTGATTGGCCTCGGTAAAATAATGTTTTATTCTTCAGTGTAGATAGTTAGTATTTTTGAAGTACTGCTGTTGTTGAAATTTTAACGCTGACTACTTGTGTGGCGAGTGCTTTAAAATGAATTGCGAAGAACGTGAAAAGAACCCAAGAACTTAGGAAAATTCTGTGTTTATCATCAACATGGTTCTAATGGATAATGTTTTCTGGATAGGTTTGAGTAAATTTCACTTCAAGGTGAGCTTGAAGGAGACTTGAAACTTTGTCCAATCCAATTTGTCACTTTACATTTTCTCTTTTACATTAAAAACTGAATACAGAACAACAACAACAAAAAAAACCCATGGATTTTTGTCTCAAAATACTAATAAACTGGTACAAAGCTGTAACAACAGTAAGAATATTTATTTTTTGAGTATTATTATAACTTGTAAGGCAACACAATGCCTCAGTTACCAAACAGAATCACCTAATGCTGTTTGAAAATGTGATTTTAGAATTTGCTACGTATACTTTTTGCCACAATTTTCAATGGCTTTTTGACAGTATTTCTGCATGGAAATTTTTTTCAGGTTTTTTTTTTGTATGATGATAGAAATATGAACAGTTTGTACTCATAATGTACAGAGAATATGCAGAACGTTAGTTAGTTAGTTTGTTTCTAATAGCTGCTGGTGTCAAGATGATAAAAAACGTTATTTTGAGAAAGCATTTTCTTTGATCACCTAATGGTTGCTTGATAGTATTGAAAATAACAGATACTAAACTTTTGGCCTGGTGATTCTTTTTGTATTCTTTTGTGCCTTTAAGTTTGGTGTTTTTTCTCAGCGTGTCATTCCCTCTAAAATGTTTCTGCTGATAAAAGAGTCCTGATTGTTGACTTGCTAAGTCCGCTTGCGCTTACTGGTTTAATAGTAGTAGTGGTTAAATGTGTCTGTGCAGTAAAATAAAAATTCTTGGCGTCTCTAATGGCTTGTTCTGCATAACATCTCCAACATCAGGATTGTATTGAAAATAAACCCTCTGGCTGTGCACTCCATTCTGGAAAGGATAGCAGCTGAGGAGGAGGAAGGAGATGGTAACTTTCAGGAAGAAGAAGAAGGAGGGCCTCATTCTTTGAAAGATGTCTGTGATATTAGAAGACCAGAGCCTTCTCCTTTTTCTTCTCGTAGAGTCATGTTTGAAAATGAAGAGGTACTTTGAAATTTTATTATTGTTTTGTGCAAACAGTAGATAAAATTAATGTATTCTCACACTTGGGTCTTCTCACTTACATGCATCTTCTGACTCTCAGTTGTTTGTTTTTATTTTCACCTTGGGGTTTGTTTTGTTTTTCTTTCAGATGGTGATGCCAGGAGATGTAGTTGAAATGACTGAGTTTCAGGATAAAACAATTAACAATTCTCATTATGTACTGGAGCTCATGTTGCCAAACATCCACTTGACATTACCAAACAAAGGCTTTTATGAAAAACTTTACAACAGGCAAGTATGATAATTGTTTTACTTAGTTATCGTTGCCTATACTTCTAGTTCTATATTAATTGTTGATGAAAGCATTTAAATTAGTAATTATAGCTGGGATCCATTTGAATGGTTTACTGAGAATATTAAGTACTTTGTAAAATACGTTTCACTTGTGAGTTAGCTTCAGGGACACTATCATATGTCTGAATGTTACTGTAGGACTCAGTTGCTGAAAAAGTATGTGGCAGATTTTGTGAATGAGAGATACGCTTTTGCTTTCAGTGAAAAACTTATTCAGATCTTTGTTCGCAGTGCTTAGTTCTGCCCTAGTATTTTGGATTCTCCTTTATAAATAATCATTATACTTCAAAAACATTGAATACATTTTTCTGTTTTAATTCAGTGACTTTTCTCTTAAAAATTAAAAGTTCATAAGACAGGGGTAAAACTCTTTTTATTTTTGTTATTTTAAATCTTACCAAGGCTAATGAGGGGAAGTGAACTTGACTTAAATCCTGATTCCTGTCACTGTTTCTGCTAATTGTTCCTAATCTGTGGGGGGAGGGGAGGGTAAAAAGCAACTCAACTAGATTATATCAATTGAAAAATAACTCTTATGCTACATGTCACCTACATGAAGAAAGATAATTATTTATGCTATCCTGTATTGGCCATTATTTCTCTTCCAAGGTTGCAGTACTTAGACTTTCATTGAATGGTGAGGTTATTGAATGTACAAGTTGTGTCCCACTGATAGACACAGACTCATGTAAAATCAGAGTAAATAATGTTTCTTGCAACTTCATTTTGAAATTGATGTGATCAAAATAGTATTTTTCCTCCCCAACATATTTATCCAACGTACAATTAGTAGAGATTTTTGTGTCGCTATTAATGCTATAATATGCCATATGCATACTATAATTATGGAGGAAAAAACATTCTCATTATTTATGGCTTTTATTTCTGGAAATATTATTCTTTCTTGTTCTCCTGAACTTTCTCCTCTTTGTTTATGAAATCCGATATATTAAATCTGTGAAGGAGGTAGTGCTTTATTCATCTTATACTTATTGGGAATTTAGTTTTTTAGATAATAATGTATTTCTTTCTAGAATCAGCAATGATTTGCTGCTGTGGGAACCAACCGCTCCATCTCCCGTAGAAACATTTGAAAACCTTTCTTATGGTGTTGGACTATCTGTGGCCAGTCAACTCATCAATACTTTCAGTAAAGACAGCTTCAGTCAATTCAAATCTGCAGTTAATTATGGTAATGCACTTAATAGATCCTCTTGAACTACTGTGGTACAAAGGCTGAAGTGGTTGAAGTGATTATGATGATACCGGAAAGAACTTGCAAATTTGTAAGAAAAAATTTTTAAACTGAGTGGAAAAATTGTAGATTGTTTTTCAATCAAGTAAAAATAAGTGAAATTAAATTGCACCACCTAGATAAAATGAGTTACTGGCGTAATGTGTTAACTAGAAAGTTAGTCTTTTGCTATTTTATCTCTTAGATGATGAGAGTGGATCTGAAGAGGAAACACTACAATATTATTCCACTGTTGATCCAAATTATCGCTCACGCAGAAGGAAAAAGCTTGATTCTCAGAATAAACATTCACAAAGCTTTCTGTCTGTTCTGCTAAATGTCACACATGGATTAGTGTCGATATTCACAGATGTAAAGGTAAGATGCTGAGGCTGGACAATTACACAAAATCAAACATAGAAAGTTTTTTGGTCTTGGCTATTGGACCCTTTCATGCAAAATGTCCCATCTTCTTGAAGGAACAAGTGTATATAACAGTAACTCTGTAATCTTCTTACATTCTACGTACTATAATGTAACTAGATTGTAAAGTGACATAATGTTTTAGCAATTCTTTTAAACTTATTTCAACATAAGAATAACAAAATGCAAGCAAAAAGATGATGCTATTGGCAAGTGTTGGGTTAGTCTGAGCTATCTAACTCAGCATATTGTTTCTGCTCTTCCTTCAGCAGGATGATGGAAAAACACTAGAAGGAAAATATGGAGAATTCTGGTTGGAATTCAACAATGGTTCACTTTTCAGTGTGACTAGATATGAAGGTTTTGAAGATAGACACTACGTTTGTCTCCATTCTAGCAGCCTCAATTTGTATCATCAAGGTAGGGTTGGGATGGAGGTGGCTGTGGGAGCTAAATTTTAAGGAGATATTCTTTCATTTCTTCAGGAGAAGGAAATGCTGCTATTCCCACCCTTCCTCCTGCCTTTTCCCCTCCAGTAGTGTATCACTTGATTGTAAACCATGGGTAATGCTCCTAAGATACTGCAGTGATGCAGCAGTTTAATTCAGGCTTTTCCTGTCAACTGCTAGCCTCCAAAGATTTTGTGGTCCTCTTATAGGTGTTAGCTGTACAATTTGTTCTTTGTTATGAATGTAGGCACTTGTACACGGTACTAGATATTTAGTTTAAAAAGATTCTAGACACAAAAGAAACAACAAAAAAGAAACAAAAAAAAATCTCACAAACTCTACTTAGATTAAAGATTTTAGCTCTAACCATGTTTTTAAATATTGCATCACCTGTAACCTTCCTTTTGTAATTTGTGGTTCTAAGTGTGTATGCCTGACTTTATTTGGTGGTAATGGAAGGACTTAAAAGATATTAAGAATAAAAAGGATTTTCCTTAACGCTTCATTAGTAGTAGCTTTGAATCACAGCATAACTCATTACACAATTTCTGCAGGTATGGTGGATGGGGCCGTCCCTTCATCTGAAATACGACTGCCCAGCACAATACGTCCCCATTGGTTAGAACCTACTATTTGTTTTTCGGAAGAAGATGGTCTTAGTAGGACATCTTCAGATGGTGTGGGAGAGAACTGCCCAAATATGCTGACTGTTGCGGTCAAAATCCAATCAGATAAAATAGAGAGCAATACAAAGGTTTGTGTTTTTAAGTTTGTGCTTTTATTTATCTCAGTGTATATGGAAGCATTTAGATTACAGGTTTACAGATGTAGATACCAGGACTTATGAGCCACTTTTCCTTTAATTTTATTAAAATCAGATTTTCTTGGGTGAATTGTGAATTTTATTTATCAGCACAATGTAGTAATTCTTCCAGTGCTTTACTGTGCTGACCACATATACTTACTGTCCAGCTGATCTTTTTGTGTTTTAGCTTTGTTGAGTTAATCTGGTACCAAATCAGGCAAAGCAAATATGAAGAGTTAAAAGTTACTCTGATTAACTTACTGACAGTGTTGTCTATGGCATAGCCTTTGCTTGCCTGTTTGATGCAGCTCTCTGGTAAATGAGTTGGCTTCAGCAATAGCGTTCATTAGCATGGCTAAAAGATGATCTGTTTGCCAGCATAATGGTGACAAACAGGTTGGTAGAGTTATCTAGGGAGGGAAGGAATCTGCATAGTAGCAGAATCTCATTATGGCTCAGTTGACTCAGGTTTAAACTGTGGTAGTACTCCTTCTAATTCCTGGTGAAGCTCAGAATAAATGAATGAATAGCCTTCCTACTGCCACTAGAAAATTGATAATAATTTTCAGACTATTCCATTGCAACAAATACTAGATTATATTAAACAAGGTTTCTGTTTTAGGAAACATTTTTTTTGTTTTGTTTAATCCTGATCTAGTCCTTCCTTCCATTTTTAGAGAATTCTGCTTAGACAATTTATAGTCAATTTTGGGAGAACAAGGGTAAACACTTTATTATCTAGATCTCAATCATTTGCATGTATTTCATGTAAACTAATTTGTACAGCTTTCTTGTACAGGAATTTCTAGTTGCTGTTGGGCTAAGAGGAGCCACCCTTCAACACAGAGTGTTGCCTTCAGGTCTAAGCTGGCATGAACAGGTCAGATTTCTAGAGTTTTCTCAACTGCATTTTCAACTTCAGTCTCATTATTTTATGACAATTGCTTTAAATTTGAAACTAAACCTAAGAGTTTTTTATATTAGCTTTTGTCCTACTTTTTTTTTTTACCCTATTGAAAGATGATTTTCAGATTAAAAATCATTATAACCCATCCATGTAATCCATTAATTTCTTGCCCTTTTCATTACAGAAGTACATTAATAATCCTTGACTTAAATAAACAATGGGGGAAAAAAAAAAATCCCCCCAAACAAATCCAACAAAAACCACACTAAACCATGACAGACAGATAGCTGCTTTGAATTCTCTGCATCAGCCTCTTCCACACCTTTAAGTCTACATGTTAGTTTGTTGCTTTTTTTTTTTGCCCAGTTTACATTCAGTGCTCTTCTGTGTTCACATACTGGGTAAGCACTTTCAAATATTTGAGCTTAATTCGCTACCTGTTCCTTTGAGTAATAAAATAATAAATAAAATGTTTTATTATCATACTTGTTACAGATCTTCTATTTTCTAATGCATTATTGCTTGTTAAATTAGCAAATGGTGAAAAATTATAATGATATATTTATGATTTTTAGATTTTATATTTTTTGAATATTTCTGATGAGCCTGTTTTGGGATATAATCCTCCAGCTACAGTTACAACTTTTCATGTGCATCTATGGAGTTGTGCTCTCGATTACAGGTAAATGAAATGCAAGTCTGTGTCATTTGGTGGCGCTGCAGCAATATATTTTTTCATTTTAAACATTCTAGTTTGCATATTGTTAATAACATTTGTTTATGCTTGTTTGGAAAAAGTTCTAAATAGAAATATGGCAAACTCTAAGCAATCTAAAGTAAAATAAGCCCTTCTCTAAGACAGGGAAGATTTAGCTGCTTCTAAATGTATAAATTTATAAAGTAGAAGTTTATCAGTGAAAAATAAAAATTGTTATTACATAATACACATTTTATATAATAAGCAACAATTTTTAATTGAAAGAAAATATTTTTCCATTTGTTGCTAGGCCCGTGTATTTGCCAGTCAGATCTCTACTTACTGTTGAAACTTTCAGCATTTCCAGCAGTGTTGCAGTCGATAAATCCTATTCTACTCTCAGGTATAATTTAAGTGCTTGTGAAACGTGGGATCTTCTGTGAAACTTGTAGTGCCTGTTTACTATTTGATCTATGAAGCATTTACATTGTGTAAATGATCACACTGGTAAACTATGTCTTTGAAATATACTCTGTTCATATGTAATCGTTCTTTTTTGTTAGGCTAAACACATTACTCTTTTTGTTGGATTGCTTTCATTAACAACCAGCAATTCTACAATTTTTAATAAGTTGGAAAGCTGGAAAAACAAAGTTGTATTTTCTTAATTACCAGCACTTCATGTTACATCAAGATTTATTATGTGTAGACAACATTGTATTAACTAACAAAATATTTAGGGATTATTGACCATATTTAGTATGTTGATAACAGTGAAATTTTTCTATGCTAAATATTGTTTCTTTTCCATGCCTGCTGAAGTTTGTAGCATTTCTTTGTTGTGTTTATTTCATCTAGTATTTTTGTTTGTTTGTTTTGGTTTACTGATGTTCTAGGGTAATTTTAGATGAAGCTGCTTTGCATCTGTCTGACAAGTGCAACACTGTTATGGTAAACCTCCATAGAGGTAAGCATTTAATCAGTTCTTGAATTTCTCATCATAGAATCACAAAGTTGGAAAGAACCTACAAGATCGTCTAGTCCAACTGTCCTCCTATCACCACTTCTACCATGAAGCTGCTAAACCATATCTCGTAGCACATGGTTAGAGCCTTATAGGAATATTCAGCATATATTAAGATTGTTGAAGCTCTAAGAAGATGAGTAGTGGCTAGTTAGATATGAAATGAGTAGTTCAGTACTGAAATATGATATTTTTAGTTTAGATTTGTAGTTGCAGAAGCATGTCAGAGAAGCTCTTTTCATGAGTTACGCATTCTCAGTAGTTGAACTTAAAAGTTGTTGTATGGCTTGGAATTCTAGGTAGTCTTATCAGAAAAATATCAGCTATTCTACTCTGTTTTATACAGTAACAACTGTTAGAATTGAGAAACTGAAGGAATATTAAAAAAAATTTACCTGAGAAATCTCTAGTGAAGGACAGCATAAAGGCATGCGTATGGTGTTTAAACAAAGAAGTGGGGAAGTAAGCTATTCTTGGTGCTGAAAGATGGGTACAGTATTAAAATGTCCTCTCTACTACTTCAACACTAAGCACCTAGAATTCCTAGGACTAGGAAACTGGCCTAGTCAGCCAGTTTCTGTGTGCCTTTGCCTCTAACTTATGTGGACAAGATAAGGTTAAAATTCTAATAGATTGCACTGCACGCAAATAGTGTTTCTAGAGGTTATGTACTGGAAAAAGTATTGGCAAAACAATCCGTTTTAATGCTTTAACAACCAAAAATTAAAAAAAGGAAGATACTTCTTTTCATTTTTTTCTTTTTAAATTTTTTATGCATTGTCTTTCAGATTACGTTCGTGTTATGGATATGGGCCTGCTGGAACTAACTATTACAACAGTAAAATCTGATTCAGATGGGGAAAGAGTAAGTATTTAGCCACAAATAAAATCTAAAATAATCAGGACTGATTTGTGATTTATAAATTGCTTGATTATATTTAGAATCGAACAGGCTTCTTTTTAAGTTTGTATGTACTTCTTTTAGTTCTGTTTGACTAGTTAACTAATTTTAAACTGTGTATAGAAACTATTTTTATGGAACTTTAGATTGATTTTAAAAGTACTCTTAAGTGTGTCTTCTTGTTATCCAGACTAAACCACGTTTTGAGCTGCACTGTTCCAGTGATGTAATCCATATTCGCACCTGCTCTGATTCATGTGCTGCACTGATGAATCTTATACAATATATTGCAAGTTATGGTGATTTACATCCTCCAAGTAAAACAGAGATTAAATGCGGAGTTAACAAGCCAAAAATGAAGGTATAAAATCACAAAATAACATTGATGTAACTAGCTGTACACTTTCTGGTAATCTGTTTTAGTTTCAATGTCTACGTTCCTTCTCCAAAGAACATGAGAAATGTTGCAAAAAATTAGCTTGTATCTGTCTCAAAAATATTTGAGAGTAAAATGTTACCTTTACTTTAATTTTTGTTCTGTCTTGTTCACTACTAGATAGTTATAAATATTTTTTGCTGTTTACTTAATGTACCAAATTCATATATAGCAAAGAAAAAGAAATTCTAGGACATATCTGAGGTGTTCAAGTGCTGTAATGATGCAAGTATCCCAAATCATAGTCTTTTGTTCTGTTTTATGAATCATGTAGATCTTAGCGGCATTTCAATTGATAATTTATGAAATTGTCTGACTTTATCAAAAGTTTAACTGCTGTGTTTCAGGACATGCTAGCAAAATCTTATTTAACATGACATTGCCATTATTTTTAAATATGACTATATATGGTTTGTTGCCTATAGGTGGAGACCTTTAGTCAGCCCTCTTCACACGGGCCACTGCTCGCTGAATCAGAGCAACAGATTTTACGGGATTTGATGAGTGATGCTATGGAGGAAATTGAGACTCATCAGACTTCTGCTGTGAAGATAGAGCCTAATGGTAAGAATCTGTTGGGGCCATAAATAAACATGAAGTGCAACCTTTCTCTAAAGAAAGTCGGATCAAAAGTTTTGTGTATATTGAAACACTGCAGAAATAATTACAGCACGCTGCAGTCTGAAGTCTTCTAATGATCAGATATTAAATTCTCACTGTTAATAACAGTAATGTAAAAGTAATTCAAAATCATAATCAGATACCCATTGCTTAAATACTGGCAGCAGCAAGGAAGGCATCAGACTTTGTGTGTTTCTATCAAAGACCCCTGATTGTCAAAGTAAGTTAGCATGGGTAAGCTACGTGCATTCTGTGGTGTGGAGGAAACAAAAACCACTATTCTGTATACAGAGGTAGATCAGGAGGATGGTACACTTCCAAGTCACAAACAAAATTTGGAGTCATGAGGAAATCTTTTAATTAGCAGACATAACAAGGTAATTGATTTAAATACAGAATTATGGCTTCTGCACCTTGAGTGCAGCTAAATCCAGGTTTAATTTGGCTAAGGATTTTGTACTACAAATAGTATAATATTTATTTCCACAGTTGAAGGTAAGCTATTGGTGTGATACCGAAAGTTATTGATATTGTCATCTTGTTACTAGAATGAGATGATGTTTTGTATCTGTATGATATTTTTATGAACACTTTATCTTTAAAATCATCTCTACTAGTAATTAGTTATGAATATATTGTAATTGTTTTAATTGTATAGTGGACTAATTTTTTGAAAATGTCTTCAACTTCTATCAGCTTCTCTTGATACTGCAATTAAAGTAAGAAGTTTCACTTAAATACGGCATTATTTTGTTGGTACTTTGTAAAGACTTTTCCAATGAAGCATGTTTTTTCTCTCCTCCCAGGAGTTTTGGATGACAGATCTCAAACTCAGGAACCATCTTGCTCAGATCTCTTCCTGTTTCCAGATGAAAGTGGAAATGTCTCTCAAGATTCGAGTCCCACTTATGCTTCATTCACTCATCATCTGATAAATGAAACCGTGGGAGATGTTCCTGCAGAAAGTGATGATTTCTGCATTCTTTTTGCACCAAAAGCTGCTGTTTCTGTAAGAAATTCTGTGAGAATTACTAAAAAAAAAAAAAAAAAAAAAAAGATAAATCCATATGAGCCGTATGTAAACAGCATTAGAAGGTTTTGTGAGTGCACAAAAATTATTATTGTGAAAGACGTTCATATGTTGTTATCATTGAAAATATATGCAGCTATCTTTAGGTAGTTTTATCTCAGGAAAATGTTGTTCTGTGAGCTGAATATTATGTCAGAAGCTTATATATGTTTTATTCATGATTAATTATTGCCATTGGACTTACAATAAAAGTTTACAAAGAAGTTGTAAGAAAAATACAATACTTAAAAGATGTGCAAAGTAACTATCTACTAACATTTTATTCATTTTTCTCATGGACCAAGCTTTCAGTAGTCTTGTGAGCATAAGATCCTTACCAGACACAGAAAAGCTTGTGTGCCATGTCACTCCGCTCTCTGTCCTCCATTAAAAGATTTGGGACACAATACTCAAACTGTCTGAAAACAGTTTGTGTTCACATTCTTCGTATAATCTCTGGTTGTATTCTGCTTAATAAACAGAGCTAGTTTCGGATTCCTGATCAGTAGTATTTGCCCAGTTATCTTTGAGGTTGTCTGTTTCCAGTAGTGCCTTATATAGTAGACCTGTGTTCGTCATATACACATGGAGTATGTGGTATTCTTACCCTCAGAATGTTTTGTTTTATTTTCTCATTTATTCTTATGTGCTTTTTGGTTTTTGTTACTTTCTACATATCATTCCTAAACCAAACCTGTTGTATAACCTTCATAAAACAGTATAGAACAGTCTCTTTTCATAGGAAGAAAATAAACGTCTTAGTAAGGAATATGTATTTTATCTTCTTTATGTTTTTTTATTTTAATGTACGTTTTTAGGAGAAAGAAGAAGAACCAGTAATAAAAAAACTGGTTGATGATGCAATTTTGATAAAGGAAAATCATTTCAGTCAGCCTGTGAAAAAAACAGATGCAAGCAAAGCTCCCCTTCATTTTCCTGTTCCTCTGGTACGCTACATTGTGAAGGAAATCTCTCTTATTTGGCATCTTTATGGTGGAAGAGATTTTGGGTCTGCACCACCAACATCTCCAGCTAAAAGTTTTGTGTAAGTATTTGACATAGTTCTGAACATTAGTACATTTTAAACTACTTTATTTCCCTTTGATTTGAGATTGCACAGTAAGATTAACCTTAAATTGGCCTCTCTTACTCCTTTGCTCCTTCCATGCAAGAAATGTGCTTACTCAGTCTATCTCAGTATATGTTTACAGTGTCTTAAGCTGAACACTTTGGATTTTTGTTGTGGCATTTGATTATTAATTTCTTTAGAGAGTGGAGTAATGGTTTTGCTTTTAAGTGTTACATGAAAAATAAAATTTCTTAAGCAGGTGGACCCTAAGGGGTGTAAGAGACTATTGCTGTAGTAGGTGGGATCTAATTTGAAGGAAATCTTGTAAGCGAAAGATGAATTAATGTTATCATGGACAAAATTTAGGAAAATTAATTTGCTGGGAAACATACAACTAAGCATTCCATGTCAGTGTGTTTTACTTAGTAATAGAATGGAATTTTTTGGTTAACTTCCAGTCTCTGTTCACAGTGAGATGGCTTTAAGTTAGTTGAGAAAAGTTTTTTGTTTTTCTGTTTTCCCCCACAGAAGTCCCCATAGTTCTCCTTCTCATACACCAACAAGACATGGAAGGAGTACGGCTTGTGGGGGAAGAGGAAGAAACCCAGATTTCCTCATGGAAATACAATTAAGCAAGGTGAATGACAAAAATCTTCTGCCATGGCTGTGAAAATACATTACGTGCTATACTGGTTTAATAGGAGCTTTCCGTTTGAATTGAGTAGGCTTTCTTCCAGTAGCATCTCTCTACATCTAAGCAATTACATTGGAAGTGGTAGATTTAGAATTGGTTAACAAGAAATGTATTGTTCTGACGGAGTATTGCTTATTTGGTGACTGAACGTGTTTCTAAAGATGGAAGATACTTAATATAATACACTTAAAATTTGTTTTCTCTGTGTTGTACAGCTGCTCTATTTTTCTGTCCTTGGTTTTCCTTTGAATTGGTATACCTATTATGAAATTAAATACTTAGTGAAATAATTGAGATGTAGATCCATTGGGACATCTACTGATAACTGGGCATTAAATAACATCCAGTTATATCATAATATTATTACTGTGTTTTCCATAGCATTATTTATCACCCTTCAGGAATAATTATATTGCTGTAGTTTTTAAGCTTGTAGTTAGAAACTAGATGCGTGATTCAGATGCTGTGAAGAGCACTGACAAAGAGTTAACCAAATCTCATGTTAAATGAATCAATAGCAGAAACTTTAATTAAGCTTTTCTCAAGCACTTCTATGAAGGTGAAAGGTTCTACATAAATCTGAATGCCATTTAAAATCAGTGGGTGCTTCTATGACTTAAAATTCATTATGTGGCCATTTGCCAGAAATACTTGATTCTGAATTTATCTTGTTTTTGACAGACCATTGCATTGCAATAGAAAAGAGGAAAACAGGAAGTTTAATATTCCACGTGTAGAAGTGTGTCCCTTAGTTTGCAGGTGTTTAAAGAGTAAATATTCGATATTAGTACTCAGATGTAGGGTCCTGTTTTGTTTTGTTTTATTGTTTGTACTTTTTAACTTTGTATGAGGCTGCGTAAGAACTCATAGAATCATAGAATGGCCTGGGTTAAAAAGGACCACAATGATCATCTAGTTTCAACCCCCCTGCTATGTGCAGGGTCGTCAACCACTAGACCTTCCAGTGTGGCCTTGAATGCCTCCAGGAATGGGGTATCCACAACCTAAAATGTAGAAACTACTATCAAAACCAGAAAGTTTCTTAGTAGTATTTATGACCAACTTATGTTTTCCATTTCATCTCAAGATTTATTACGTGTTTCTTGAGTACGGGGCACTTTATTCAGTATTTCTTAAAATCTCAGTACGTGGCCAGTAGAACACTGTTCAACTTGCTACGTGTGGCTTACCCCACTGCAGAAAAGGAGGGGACTTAAGATGAGTCATGATTTGTAGGTAACCACAGGTCTTTGATTGAGAATCACATCAAGAGGTGAAGAAAAAGAAATTCAGAACTGCATAGAATTTAGGAAGGGTAAGTCATTATAACTTGTCAGGACTAATGTGGACAGTGGGTGATTAAAAAGGGAACTGAGACTGGAAGAAGCTACTTGAGAAGTCTGTTTGAAAGGGAAGAAATGAAGTGTAGAATTGCTAGTTTGCACGATATGCACTTCTATACACTGAAAGAAAAGGAAGTAAAGCAACAGGGTGGAGTCCATACTGAAATGAAAAGCAAAACTTGTTCTTCATTTTATACTGCTTACTATTTGACCTGGCTTGAATCTGCATCCTAAAATACAAATATTTTACACAAATATGAATGGCAAGATTTATATTAGGTGTACAAAAATTTAAAATAGTGAACTCAGTTTTTAGGATTTCTAAAGGATGAGTTTGTATGTGGCTTTTTTTCTCTGTTCATTTGTTTTTAGTGATATTCTTTTTAAAATTTGTTTATCACTGAAATGGATTGTGCTGTATTCTTTCATGTTTTAAAAGGTGAAATTCCAGCATGAAGTATACCCACAAAGTGGTGCAGAAGGCGAATCCGGTCTGTTGGAACAACCAGTGTCACGGCAGATCTTTATTGTTCAAGACTTGGAGATCAGAGATCGCTTAGCTACATCACAAATGAATAAATTTCTCTATCTATACTGTAGTAAGGAGATGCCCAGAAAAGCACATTCAAACATGGTACTGTTATGGCATGTTTTAATTTATTTATAATTATAGAAGCTGAACTGTCTTTGTGAAAGTTATATGCAGTTATTGATCTTTGAAAAAGAGGAACGTGAGTGAGGCCATGGAGCCATGGAAGTCATTTAAATGATTATTGTTATTGACTCCTCGTGAATACTAAAACTCCCTAAAAAGTCATTGTAAATATTAGTATGTCAGATTTATTTTCCTTTTTTTTTTTTTTTAGAAGGTACCTGTGCAGGACTACATTAGCAGCTTTCAGATTTTTATTCTGAACAAGCATCTACTTCTTAGCGTATTCTTAGACTTCACTACACATACAGAGTTGTAGTTTTGATATATTCTAGTCTTATTGGTTTTATAATTTATAAATATTTTTCAAATTTTCTTACTATTAACATTGTTAAAAAATGAAATTGAAGTAATTGCTCAACACTAGATTTATAAGTGGCACATTAAATCAAGTTAGTATAGAGGTTAAAAGGTAAACATTTGTCCTACTTAATGTTCTGAGATTTAATAATTGTGAAGGTTACTACTTTTTATTTACCTTGTTTATTCCTCAGTTAACAGTTAAAGCGTTACATGTCCGACCAGAGTCTGGCAGATCCCCACAGGAATGTTGTTTACGTGTTTCATTAATGCCACTTCGCCTCAATATTGACCAGGTTGGTTGTGCTCGTGCAAAAATATTGATTTTTTTTTATTTTTTTTAACTAGTGACACTTACACGTGATTTTATAGGGTTGCTACCTCACATTTGGTAACTTTTAATTATAGCTGTTCACGTCTGGGTCTCAGTTTCTGTTTATGTCCATGTTGGAAGTTGTCTAGTGCTATAGCTAGTACAGTGACTAGCCTTTTTCTTTTTTTTTTTTTTTTTTTTAATTTAGAAACTAACTATGTAGCTGGCTTCTCAAGACTACCAGTTTATCTTCTGCAGTTTCTGATGATTTTTACATGTTTTGAAGCGGGGATATCTAAAAAGCATAGTGCTTATGCAGTCTTGCTTTGTTTGCTAGTGAAATAGTTTTGGTGGTTTTACTGGGAGAATGTTAATCATTAAACCAGAAGCTATTCACAGCATTTTAGTCAAGAGCACTTGACACTTGAGAACTGCTGATATACTGTGAATCCTTTAGTCTCATTATCAACAGCAGTGGTGTGAGGAACAGAATGAGGAGAAATTGTTCTATATTTATTGGCAAGCCTTCGTACAGAGTATTTTTCATATGCTACAGAAACAGTAGGGGAAGATCTGTGTCTCTGTGCATACAAATTTCAAGTGTAGGCATTACTTTTTGTAGAGGAATTTCTTGCTTAATTGAATATCTATGAAGAGATGTTTTTCGAAGGGCACAGTTAGGAATTCCCCACCTACCTTTGCTCAAGTTCAAGCGAGAGCAGATTTTTCTTTTATTTGTAGAAAAAATTCTAGTCTGTGTCATAGAATCATTAAGGTTGGAGAAACCTGTAACTGTATAGTTTGTAATAATTTTGTATAGATAAATGGGGTTTTTGCCATCCAGTGATGAAATATGTTTTATCTTAAATGGCTTTAATGCTTATCTTTGACAACATAACCAGATTTACCTTTATGACTTCTGTAAAATAAAAGACAACTTTCCTGGAAGTAGAGAGTTGCATGCAATCAAAACAAAACAAAACCCAAACAAAAAAAACCAAAAGAAAAGAAGGCCCAGATGTCTTGTTCATCCTGTAATAAGCTACAAGTGTGATGCATCTTTCAAAAAAGCAAGCAATGTAATAATATGAGAACATTAACAAGACATAAAGCAACAGTAGAGTTATAAATGCCTTTTACTGAAACGTTGGTGAGAGCTGATCAAGAATGATGGGTCTGTCATTAGTAGAAATGAATATAAAGTAAATTTGAATGCACTTTTAATGGAAATCAGAGTAAAGTGTATAGCCATTAAAACACTTGGATTCTGGAATAGGCTTCAAAATGAAGGAGGTTTGTTTCATGTTTATAGAGAGAAAAAAGACCTGTGATTGTAGGATTGTGGTGGTTGTTGTTGTTTAAGAGAATTTAAAGGTTTTTCTTTGGTTTTAAATCCGTTTTTATTTTTTTGTTGACACCAGGATGCCTTGTTTTTCCTGAAGGACTTTTTCACTAGCCTCTCTGCAGAAGTAGAACTCTTAGTTACTCCAGATCCTGAAGGTAGACTTCAAAATATCTAACATAAATGTGTTCTTTCTGTTTTAATGTGTGTACGTATCTATAAATAGACACACGAGTCTCATGTATAAAATAAGTTACGATATTGACCAAAAATCAATATCAATGCTTAACTTTTAAGAAAAAAATAAACTTCTGTATTTTTGGTTTTGTGTTTTGTAAACACCAACGAGGATTTTCAGCATTTGTGAACTCTGCTGTGTAAAATGTTTCACCAAAATTAGAGCATGTTTAATAAGAACTTCTGAAAAAATTGAGTAACGTATATATAACAATTGAGAGTTACTGTTAGATACAACAAAAACATTATTTCATACTATTTGTGTAAATTAATATGTCTGTCTAGCATTTTGGAGTTGTAGAACTCCTGGGGAAGAAACAGGTCAGTTTTATAACTAAGCAGGACAAAATATATATGTACACTTCAACTAAACATCCGATGCAAAAAAAAAAACCTTACATGTTGAAATGCACATTTTCTCTATTAACTATATCTGTGAGTTTGTTCACAGCTATGATTTACTTATTTCAGTTAAGACATCGTATTGAAATGCCTTATAATGAAGTACCATCCTATGTGCTTATTCAGATGGATTATTTTTGCTGATGCATAAACCTCAACTTAAGCTTCTTATAATGATTCCTAATGATAAAGTTATTATCCAAGAGAATCTGTTATCTTGCTAGTAATGTTTGTAAGTACTGGTGCAATGTAATTAGTAGTAATTACTAATTAATGTAATTATGTTATATTAGTATTTACAAAGGTTAAGGTATAAAGTGACTGTATAAAATGGAAAAATATGAGTCTATTTACTATGCATAATCTTTTTATCATTTTAGTTAAAAAGTCTCCTGGTGCTGAAGTTACTTGTAGTTTGCCAAGGTATGCCAGTAGCCTTAAGGACCCAAGTCCAGTCATTTCTTTCTCATCACACAAGCAAACAAGTGAAAATGGTAGCATTGATTCTATGGATGTCATTAATGGGGATGATCATCGTTTCTCACAAGAAGTGACATCATACAGTGATCAGCCAGTATTTTTCAGGTAAATTTTAGTTAAAAATTTCAAGAGACCCACAACTATTTCACTGATTGTTTTAAGGAAGTATGGTGATAAACTTATGTATCTTAAGCACAGTTGTGGTGGTGGTTTATTCACTAATAAGAGAAATGAAATGTATTTATTTCCATAATTGGAAAGTAAATAATATTTTTTTAATGAACTTTAGCAAACTACTGTGCACAGGACAAGAAAATAAATCAAAGCTGTGCCATGTACAAAACCAGTAATATATTTTGCAGATATATAAAAAGAGCAGTCTTTGTACTCTGACAATGTAAATTAGATCTAACATAAATAGAGATGAGAGTACTTGAAACAAAGTACATAAAATAAAAGAAATCACAAAAGAAGGATGAGATTGAAATACCACAAGAGAAACTGTGAATGTGTTCCTGAGTGAGAATTGATTACAGAATTTGCAGCTTGTTATGCAGAAGCTTTTTCTTCATTATGTATTCAGATTGTAAGTGAAGATGTTTGTTTTGGTAAGTAGGGCAGAGCCAAATTATGAGAGAATGGCTGTGGTTCTGTTTTTATCACATATATCACCAAAATAATTTTTAATTAACTTTCATCATTTGCAGTATATTTTCCCTCTCTGCAAAATTCATGCTGTGAAAATTGAGGGAAGTTGTTCATGTTTAGACTTAGTTGCACTTCTGCAGTATTGTTAAAATTACTGTAAATATTAACTTTGTCAAGATGGTAATAAATCAAGAAAAGCTGAATTTGCAGTTTGTACACTTATTCCACAATACTTCAGCACTAGTATGATGTCTAGAGGATTTGAGGTTTACAGTGAGAGGTGTGGCATCCTATTCTGGGAGAATGGGAAACCATGGGGTTTTTTTTGTTTTTTTTTTTTGAAAGGATTATCTTATTTCTTATTGCTGTTCCTAACTCTAAAATTTTCTCTGTATATCTTAGAGAGTTTCGTTTTACATCAGAAGTTCCGATACGGCTTGATTACCATGGCAAACATGTATCAATGGATCAGGTTTGTGTATAATGCTTATTCTGTAGAACAAGAAGTTCTGTTTTTCTCTCATAAGATTTGGCTATATATATTTATTTTTGTTCCCCACTCATTATTGATGCAATCCTGAGAATCATAGAGCTCTTTTTCTCTTGCAGTTTCAATAAAGCTTAAACTTGATTTTATTTCACTCTTAATCTGAATACTGAGAAGTAGCTCTTCCAGGTATGATTAATGCAGTGAGACTTGAAAGTCATATTATAAGCTCAGTGGGCTAGAAGTCTTTTACAGAATTGTGGTGGCCCTCAAAAAATACCAGAATTGCACAATGCGTTGTTTTTCTCCTTAATGCCAGAATATTTTTCTTTTGGTTCCTATCCTTTGCAATGTGTGGGTTTCATTTGTAATGTCAGAATGTGGTACAGATTTAAAATTGCTCATATTTCTTTCTAAAATATTTATTAGTTATCAGATTGTTTTTATTAATTATCATATTGGATTTTATCAAGCAGACCTCAGAAAATCCTGTTTGCAAAGCTGGATTTTTGTTCTGTGATGGCAAATCAGTAAGAGAACAAACAAACAAAAGCAGCAATATTTTGAACAAGTAGTACTTCCAAAAATACTATAACTTGAAATAGCAGCTTTATGATACCTGAAACATGGTAATGCCACAGCTGTGTTTCCATTATTTGTTCTACCTTAGTATTTATGAAGGTGCCCTCTTCATGTTTTCCTTAGAGTAGCTGATTACACCAGATTTTAACTTTTTGCAAGTTTTCATATAACTTGAAGATCAACTGGACGTGGTATTCATAGTGCTGTGACTAGTGGCATTTGGGTTTTGGTGGGACAATCAATTTAGGCAGAAATGCCTTCAGAAAGAGTTAAGATATTGAAATTATCTCTCACAGGTAGTGCTGATGGGTGAATTTTTATGTTAACAAAATGTTTCACTTACAGGGGACACTAGCTGGGATTCTTATTGGGCTTGCACAGTTAAACTGCTCAGAATTAAAGCTGAAGAGACTTTGTTATAGGCACGGGTAAGTTAATTAAATTTTAGCTAACATCAGAATTCCAAATTGGATATGTTTACAGTGAATAACTGAGTATAGCAAGCAAAAAGTAAATTCTCTGATAACATGAATTTCTCAAATTCAGTATTTATAGTGAGTATTTAATTTTGAGTAGGCCTAAAATAATTTCTGGTCAATTGCTTTTTGAATTATACAGAAACTATAATTGAGAAATATTTATAAATTGACAGTTAAAAGAAGAACATCTATTTTCAGGAAACTACTTAATATATGTGCTACACTGTATAATTTTATTTGTGTTTGTTTCCTGTTGAACTGGATGTAGTATACAGTTTTGATCTTTGCTATTGTGAGGCACATGAAACATTTTTGTTAGCCAAAGGCTAACACAGGATGACGCTTGAAATTGGCTTCCCTCTTGTTTGAATGACATCTTTGCTATTTCAATGAATAATACATTTATTTTATCAGGAATTCTTTGTGTTTTTTTTTTTTAAATAATAATTATTTTTATTTATTTCAGTTTATTAGGTGTTGATAAATTGTTTTCCTATGCCATCAGTGAATGGCTTAATGATATAAAGAAAAACCAGCTGCCAGGAATTTTGGGAGGAGTAGGACCTATGCACTCACTAGTGCAGTTAGGTAAGCTAATTTTAATTTCTGTTGAGGCACATAGTGACTTTGTTTGTTTGTTTTATTCTTCTTTTCATTGTTTTGTTTTGTTTTCCTAAAACAACAACAACAACAAAACACTGGTAACTTTTGTTTCTACTTTCTCTCAGGGCATACTGAGTACTTACTGACTCTGATGTTCTTTCTTCATTTCAGTTCAAGGTCTGAAAGACTTGGTGTGGTTACCAATCGAGCAGTACCGAAAGGACGGCCGTATTGTAAGAGGCTTTCAAAGAGGAGCAGCATCTTTTGGTACTTCAACTGCAATGGCAGCCCTGGAGCTAACAAACAGAATGGTTCAGACAATACAGGTATAGTGTATTGCATGTAAAGTTTAGGCATAAGTGAGAAGTGTTGCTAGTAAGTGCTTTATGTTAAGCTAATATCTTAATGCTATGCTTAAGCTTGGGAGAACATGTACGAATAAATAAGTTCTGTACAAATAGGAAAACAGATGAGATTAGGCGAGGGTTGTGGTAGTTTGAATGGTTTCATCAAATGCAACATCTATTTTGTAGATTGTATTGCCCAGCACCCAGACTATTACCTGTTTCTTAGAATACCTTGTATATATTACATTGGAGAGACTAACCAGCAAAATACTTAGCAGCACTAAAAACATTTCTGATATTAAGAAAGGTCTTGCACATGTTTTCTCCAGTAATAGATCCTGAAAACTTTTTGAAAACATTTTCTGTACTTATTCATTGAAGAGGAAGAAAAAGTAATAGACAGTAACTCTACTCATGGTTTAAAGTGGTAAAAAATTTTGTTCCTTAATGTTAAATACCTAATGATAATATATTTTTACCCACTAATTTTGCAAAGACTGTATATGTGCCCATGTGTGAACTTTCCTAGCCAAAAACTGATATTTTTCATGAACGGAAATGTGTCTGATTTTGTGCATGCAAGAAAACATATCTTTGTTCAAATGTTTCAGATTTGTTTCATTTTGAATGTTTTCTACAGGTTAGAAGATGCTTTTGAAGCAACAACAGTTGGGGGGAGTAAGGAGGGAACTAAAAAACATTCAGTATTTGTTGCTTCATTTTTGAACTTAATATATAGTTAAAACCGCACCCATTTTAGAAGTTATTGTAGTACAGAACTTCAATCTGATATAAATGACTATTATTTATAGTACTAGAATAATTTTGTTTCAATTATGTTTCCCTAGAAGTAGTTTAAATGTGGGATGAGATGCTGAAATAAGACTTTCTTATTTTACTTCTGTTCCTGATCATCAGGTGGCTGCAGAAACAGCGTATGACATGGTATCACCAGGGCCAACTTTTATTGAAACAAAAAAGATTAAACGATTCCCTCGCCATCGTTTGGCACATCAGCCAGTAGATCTACGAGAAGGTGTTGCCAAAGCATACAGTGTTGTAAAAGAGGTGAGTGCAAATGTAACTGTCCTTAGCAAAATTTAAGAAATATCAGAAAATACCAAGCAAATAAAATGTGAGATGCTAGTTTAAGCCAACCAACTGACAACGTTTTGAACAAGACTATCTTCATCAGTAGTTTCAAACCAATAGAAACCTTGCATGGAATAAATGAAAACTAATTAAGATGTTAGAGAAGCATGAGTAGGTTTTCAGTTCTGAGATTTTACCATTGTTTAGAAGCATATAAGGCTTATTTTTTTTTAAATGCCATTAATTTTGAAGTTGTTAGTGTAATGCTATGTGCAGACAAGTAAAAGTTCTGAAGTTCTGTCTCTTTACCTTGACAATGTATTAAAAGTTAAAATGCTGATGTTTTGTTGTTTTTGTTTGTTTTGTCTTTTTTGTTGAGCTTCTTGTATTTTAGTTCTAGTTGTGCCTGATATCGTGCCTAGCAAATTAAGTCTCAGCTGGGGAATTTTCAGTTAATGCTGTCATTTTGAATAGCAAAGAGTAGCCCAGAAATTCTTTCTTTATTTACAAGAATGCCACCAGAAGTTGCAAAGTCATTTTCATCTGTAAGATTGTGATAGTGTTATTTTAAGCCTCATTAGAAGAGTTAAATCAGATTTGTCTAAATGTAGTTGTATCACAATTACAATACAAAAAAAAAAAAAAAAAACCTCAGCAGTTTAAGTTGCCCTTTAAATTAGGAGAATTTGCTTTGTTGTCTTTGGCGTAACTAATTTCTGTTAATTTTTCAAAGGGAATTACGGACACAGCCCAAACCATCTATGAGACTGCTGCTCGTGAGCATGAAAACAGAGGGGTAACTGGAGCAGTAGGAGGAGTCCTCCGCCAAATTCCACCAACTGTGGTGAAACCTTTCATTGTTGCAACAGAGGCAACCTCAAATGTTCTAGGTGGAATGAGAAACCAGATCAGGCCAGATGTGCGTCAAGAAGAGTCTCAGAAATGGCGCCTTGGGGAAGACTGAATTTATAAATGAGGCTCAGCAGCCAGCTAGCAAGGCTAGAAATGCAGAAGATGTTCCCATTGGCAGCCTTAGATGAAGCTGAATTTGTTTTGCTCATCTCAGGAACAAGCAAGGTTTTTGCCTATTGTTAGCAAAACATCCAACCAAAAATATTTACAAAGTGGAAAGCAAATTGGTACTTGCTTATGCTGTGTGTTACCAGTACATTTGGTAGATAGTGCCAAACATAACAAAGCATGCGCTGCCAACTCAAGAGACATGCTCGCTCTATTCCGTTTACCATATTTTTCTTGGTAGATAAAACATCTAAAGCAGCAGCCTATATGATGAAACTAAGTATACTTCAGAAATGGTTTTTGAACAAAGTCAAGAAACTGTCTTCAATAAAGGGCTCTGAAGATGCTCTTCACTGACTAAAAGATAACAGCTTTCATTTTGGATTTGAGATACGGAGGCATGTAATATGGAAGCAGATATGATAATATCATTTAGTGATCGTAAGCATTGCTTTTAGTGTGGCACTTAAGGAGCAATCTTGATAACCATTCAGAATTTAAATTCAGTGTTGATACACCTGTGAACAGGATTTGTTTCTCAATATTAAATACCTACTTCTGTGGGTCTTTGAAGAAACTGAATGTTGCAGAAATGTTCTCTTGTGTTGCACTTTAAAGAATATGGCCTGTATATTGTGCTTTTTTATAGTGTGAATAAAATGTAATGTGCATTATCCTTTATGTGGTTAAAAGCTTAAATAAGTAATTGATAAAAAGCATCATTTGATGATGATTCTACAGAAAGTGTCTTAAATTTATTTAAACTGCTTGTTATATGTAAAAACACTCTTCTGTTACACTAATTACAAAGCTAAAAATAACTGTTCTTCAAAAAAACAGCAGTTAAATATTCTAACGAAAAGTTCTTTGTAAGAATGAGAAATTCTAAGTAAACCCAAATTATTTTATAACATCATGGTTAAAATTCTCTACAAAATTAATTATCTTCTTTTATTTAAGGTTACAAAGTTGCTGCTCTTAACAAGACTTTTTTTTGTAATTTAAATCATGCATCATCAGTTATTTGGCAGTGAGCATTTGGAGCCATTTAATTTGAACTGGGAATAGTTGAGGATTTGAAAAACAAAAACCTTCAAAAATCAAAGTTGATTCTGACACTCTTTACTGTTTAATAGGGAAACAGGGTCTCTGCAGAGCTTTAGTAAGCCACTGATAGTGCACCGTTTCTGGGAAATTAAAAAGCTAGACACTAGCTGTGCAGGAATAAACCTTTATTCCTTGTACTTGCAAAGACTGGAGGATAACAAGTAAAAACTTCTTTGAATAGAAAACTACTTATTTTGAATTTCAGCAATTAATAGTTTGGGTGACCAATTGGAACATTAGTTTTTGTCAGTCCTGTTGTTGTCCTGCAGATACGCCATGGACAAATCTCGGCTGAAAGGTGCTTTTTGTTTGACTTGAATCTCTAAGGATGATCAGAAGGTAGTCTCCTTCTTTCTCTTTTTCTTTTTTTTTTTTTTTTTTTTTTTAAATAATCTGCCATTAGCAGAAACTTTGCTGATATACTGTATTGCAGAACAAAAGTAGCATATGAAGGAAAACAATATAATATTAAGATGAATAGGCATTAACTAGTTGCTCCTGGACACCAAAGAGTTTGTGTGGAGGGTAAATGATTTGTAAGAGAGATCCCCTCTGCTGGAATGACTATTGCAGACTGCTTTTATTATTTTTAATAAAAGACATTTATTTGCAAGCAAGTTCTTACGTGGGTGGAAGGTGCTATTACAAAGTTGGCTTTCATTCACTGGACTCTTCATAGTTGTATGTTTTGAAGACCTGATAATTTCATTTAAGCAACATGATGTAAGCAGAAGGAAATCCTTCTGAGAGGACAAATACCTAAGTATGTGCAATAACTCCATATATGAAATACTTTATGATGTAAAAATACTTGTTGCAGTTCATACTTTTCTTCAGTAATGTTATTAAATGCTTCAGTAAGAGCTAAAAGCTGAGCATTTTGCACAGGAATGAGTTCCATGCTTGCTATTCCACACCTCCTGAATGCCTTCTGAAGAAGTGGTAATGAATCAGTGCAAGTAAGTAGCAATTAATCATTTTCAATTACAGTTTCTATACTACATCCTTTCTTCTGGTCTAGTTCATCTAGTTAATGGAAGTACACTGTAACAGTGTAAATCTGCATGTTTTCTTCCTTTTTGACATTGCTTAAAAGAAGCATTGGCATTTCAGTGTTCATTTTCCATTCTGTCATCATCTGATTGTACAGGAGTGCAGTTTGAACATATTTTTATACGAGGGCATGCTCTCAAGGTAAAACATTTTATAGAGTGTCTGTTGACAATACAGATTGTACAAATTATTAAACTTTAAACGTTTCACTATTTAAACCCTTGCGTTTATTTCTTGTACTATATTGAGCCTTTTCTGGGAAACTTAAGATTTTTTTTCCTTAACTTTATTTTTGTGACCAGTTTCTTAATTTTTGAATGTATATTCTGTATTGTGTTTTGTTTCAGTAACATCATGTAGCACTGGATATTTTAAAAAACAAAAACTTAAACATTCCTCAGACTGTGTGTTGTGTTTTGGAGCGGCTTGTTTTAAATCAAGATATATGTTGCCTATCAGAGTTTCTGCTCAACACTTAAGACTTTTGGAGCTTTTAATTCACCAAATAACAGTTAGACTGAATGGATTTCCTGGAAATTAAGGCTATAAGAAAAGAGGGCTGCTCCGAAAGTAGTGTCTCCTATTCTGTTGGCCCATGACATTGAGGCAGATGGTGATGGTATGGCAGTAGAGGTTGAACCTTCCTGCCAGTATCCCACTTGCTACGTGACAGATGGCAGCAGAGGGGCAGTCAGATACAAAATGGTCTCTGACATCGAAGGAAAAGTGTGTCATTGAATGTGGAAAAAATTGCATCTATTGACATTCACTGACACTTGCTAAACATTTATGGAGACCAACAGTTAGCACAGTGAGGAGGCAGGTGGTGCATTTCAGCAGTGGCAAAAGAAATTTGAAAGACAAACCATGATTTTGACTGCCACGTACAGAATAGTGTACAAGCACAAGCTGTTGGATTATATCCGGGGAGAAATGTGTGGATCTGAACATCTGCTTTAGTGTGTTGGTGGCAATGTTGGATTATCTCAAAGTTTATGTCAGATGAGTCCCATTCAGGAACAGAAAGAATACCGGACGCGAGTTTGTCAGGACTCACTGAGCCAGTATGAGGCTGTGGCTGACAGTTTCCTGGATGGTGTCACCAGTGGTGATGAGATGTGGTATCACTACTATGAGGCAAAGTCAAAATGGCAGTCGAGGGAGAGGTGACATGAAATCTCCATCAAAGAAAAAGTGCAAGATGCAGCCCACAATGGGTGAAGTGATAGAAGGGACAGGAAAGGGGTGATACTTCTGGATTCCTTGGAACACAGACAAACCATCAACTCTGACCGCTTCATCACAATGCTTCCTAAGCTGAAGGCTCAAACTTCCAGAGTCAAGACAGAGAAAAAGACAACCTTTCTCTTGCAACACAATAATGCCATACCAGTTTGGAGCATATTGCCAGTCCTGGCTGGACTGTATTACCACATCCACTGTATGGTCCTGATTTTATGCTTTCTGACTTCTATCCAGCAATGAAAGGTGGACTCATGGGCAGTGATGCCATCAGAGCAGCTGGGAAACAGTGGGTCACTGCTGCTGGTGCAGATTTTTATGAGTGCAGCACACAGGCTTCTGTTCATCACTGGCAAAAATACATAGCCAATGTTGGTGACTACACTGAAAATTAGTGTTTTATCGCTGAGAGCTCCATCAAATAATGTTATTGTGCTCTTTTATTATCTGTTGTCATTTCCGTGGAAACAAATAGAAGACATTACTTCTGGAGTAACCTGTGCACGCTGCCATAGTTTTGTTAGCATGGTTCTACGAAAATGTACTTGTGTTTTCTGCTGAAATCAATTTGTATAGATACTAACGAACATTGCTCATTGTTTCAGTGTGTGAACAGGCATAGACCGTTTTCTCTAACACAAATTCTGTAACACTGGACTAATACTGCTACTCCTGTTACTTAGCCAGATGCTCAGGCTCAGAAGTGTCTACTGGGATTTTCTTAGACATCCAATCTAGGAACCTGTGGGTGCCTAGGAACTACTTGAAAGACAGCTATCCTTTGAAACAACAACAAAAAAACACCTTTGCTCCATAAGAATCTTAACAGTGACTGTGAGCAACAAATACTTCCATGCAAAGGCAGCTTCTGTTTACTTCCAGGTATCAATTGACAGTTCCTAAATACCAGTTTTTTAGCAATGCAATATACTCTGCTTGTGTAGCGATAAGCATTTGGTCACTCGCTAGTGAATTTATGTGTGCTTAATGAGTGCACCTGTTTTTATGTTTTCATTAAGTTGTTAATCGTGGTCATACCTTACTCAGTTCCATTTACAGTTATCCGAGTTGTCAAGAAAGGTTTTTTTAATAAACCAAAAAGCTCTTAAGTGATTATGAAAGAGACACTTTTTCTGAACATTTTCCATACCTTTGCAAATGTGGTACTGATTTTACTTTAAATTTTGGAACATAAGCATTTCTAAAGCAGTGAAATCCAAGAATTTGTTTAGAATGGTTAAATATTTCCAAATACCCTGCATTTCACTGTAGTACAAGCATTCTCAGACAAGATGTGGCTTTTGAAGTCATATTTGGATCCATACTGTGCATAGCTCTCTCAGTCTCTGGACCTTATGTTTTAAGTTTCTGACAACTGCTCTAAGTTGCAGTATGTGCTGAATCTTGTTTACAGTTAATAAAATTAAACACTGTATTAAGAACATGAATACATATCATGCCTTTATACTGAATTAATAGTAAATTAACTCAGAAACACAGGTGCTTGTGTAAATGTTTGTGTATATTTTTTACATCTTTGCATTTATAGTGGTTTTGTGGTATTGTATATAGTTTGCAAGAGTAAAGGGTGTAATCTAGTGAGCTAGAAACCACTGTTGAAGGAATTTACACTTTCAACTTGAATTATTTTGCTTAAGGTTCTTGTCCTCTCAATCTGTGTGATAAATATTTTTAGACTATGATTTATCTGGCACTAAATATGTATATTTTCACTTATTAAAATATTGAAAGGCCTGAATGCAAATAGGTGGTCCTGGTAAATATGCTTAGTGGGAAAAAAAAAAAAAAAAAAAAGAAAAGAAAACAAAAGAAAAAAACCAACCCCACACAGATTTGTAACAGTACCTAAATAAATACATTAAGTTGTTCCTTGAGTTGGTTTTCTCTACCTATGAATGAAAATAATACAGCAAAAATTATCCCCAGATATCAAAGGTTAATGCCAAAGCTTTTTAACTTACCTGGCTACACAGCTGTGTAATTAATAATTCCTTCAGGCTCTTGGTATGATGCCCTCTTCAAATGCTTAGTTACAGCTACTGGAAAAGACTCTTGAAAGGCTGAGTACTCAAATCCTGGTGGCAGTGCAGTGTTCCTACTGTATTTTGTAATGTTTTTATAGCTTAAAAACTAAAACAATAAAAATTTAAGAAGCCTGGATGGCTATTTGGTCGAAGAGTAACTTACATTTAAGTAGAAAATTGACTCCTACTCAATGCAGACCTCCTTTTGTCCATTTCTCATCTCCCTTTTAAGCAAGACTTCATGTGAATTCCAATTCTATTATATTGACATAAAACTCTCAATTTTTTTCTTTATGGAATTTGTAGAAGAGAAGAGAGGAATTTTGTTGTTTGCAAGCGAGGTGGACAAGAATCACAGAATGAATCACAGAATGGCCAGGGTTGGAAGGAACCTCAAGGATTGAGAATCTCCAACCCCCCTGCCACATGCATTACTCTACTTTTCTAAATGTTGCTCATGAAAGTGATCAAGGCTATTTTAACAAATGCTTTGCTGAGGAGAAATAGGGAAAAATTTGAGATGAGTCATTACTCATCATGAGAAGGTATGAAAACTGAGAGGAGTTTCTCTTTTCGCTTGTGCCCAGTGCTTCCTTTCATACATCAAAAGAGATGAAGTTATGAAAACTCCTCATTCACAGCCAGTGCTCTCCAAGATCTTGGGGTCTCATCTGATACTTGTAAGAAAACAATTATGTAAAATCTTTTACTAAGTGGTTCTCTGAATTTAAGGCTGCTGTAGTTTAAGTTTGTACCTGTAAAGCTTGTATCCACCTTGTCAGAACATAAGGCTTCATTTTGCTTGAATGAGCTCTGGGGAGATCACCCAGAATGGCACAAGATGGAAATGCAACTCAAGGAGAATATCAAAGAAGATCTATTTCTCTTCATGATAGCAATGTAGTCTCCTAATGTCTCAGAGTTTGTCCCAGGAGCAGAAACTAAGGCTCCACAGCCTATGGCACGTCAGCTAGCTGAGAATTTATGGGAAGCCAACCGTGTGCCACCAACCAGGAGCAGTGTGAGCTGGAGTCCTTGAATTGCATTGCTAATTTGCTGATTGATTATGAGCCAGACTGAAGTGTTAGTTATTTACTTTCCTCATAGTGTTTTTTTTTGTTTTGTTTTGTTTTGTTTTGTTTTAAACTTTCAAATGTGCTATTAAATGATGGTTTTTTTCCTAGTGTAGCAGAAATGCTGAGTCACAGCCTGAACCACTGATTGAGCACCTGGTGGGAAGGCAGGGCCAATCCACGGGAGCACAGGTGCATGCAGTGCAGCTGAGTGACCGGAAGAGGTGAAGCCAGGATTGACCCCAGACCTCATTTAAGGGATGATAGTGGAGGCCAAGGATATCTTGCTGGAGATCCTTGTGTACCTGAGGCCTTCTGGTAAGCAGCAGCTTTCCTTTGTTTCTGTGCCCTTGGCTGTTGCATTTGAGCAAATTCTCACTTGTTGCAGCCTAGGACTTTGCTACCCCCCTATTATTGCTGTGCTTTCCATCACGTTATGGGCTTCACATTGTTAATTCGTATCTCTAGCAAAAAGAGTTTAAAACCATCTGGTATTATAATAGACTATTATAAACTGCATAAAGCTGCTTTTTTTTGTGGTAGTTCTCATTTCAGAACTATTTTCTTCTAGAGCAGAGTGATTAGATGAACACAGAATTTACTGAGGGTCAGCAGTGAAATATTTATTGTCTAACAGGCAAGAAAACAGTTCAAGTTTAAGTTTCTTAGATGCTTGTAGTTAGAATTTCTGAGATAGTTAAATGCAGTGTAATTCTGTTCCTTAACTCAGTTACGTATCTAATTTGCCTTGCTGTTGATTTTATTCTTTACTAGATGTTTGAGTGCTGAATTTGACTTTTTTACAGGCCAGGTATAGAAGGCTTCAGGAAAGAAGAAAATGACTTTGGTTTTAGGGAT